ATAATACTTTCAGCACTATACATATCATGCCTTTTGTGTTTAGCAGATATGGAGGTACAGTTCTAACCCTTGAATACTTTTGTTAGATGGTGAAAAGAAGAAGCCTCATCTGTTCCCATTTACAGTGATCTAGTATACAGTAGATATGTATCACCTCTGATCTTTTTTCTGTCTTATTTTCACCCAGAGACAAGTCTGCTTCTCACCTTTTCCAGAACCTATTTCTATTGACATAAAATTTAATGTCTCCTTGCTTTCTCCCCAACTATCTTTAGTGAGCAAACTAGATCAATACTCTACTCAAGATTTATCCAAGCACTAGCTTATTTCACCATTTTGAAATTTTTTTTTTTTTTTTTTTTTTTTGAAACAGTTTGAAAGTTTAGAAACTTTTTTCTTAATGTCTTCTCAACCAAACAACACTGTGTACCTCACCAACAAGCTCTGCTGGAAGAAAGAATGAATTATGCATAGCAAAATAATACAAATGCAAATACAATAGCAAAATACAGTAGCAGGTCTTCAGAAGGAAGGTGTGATTTTTGCATGTTCTAGACTGTTAAGGTACAAGGCATACTGACTGAGAAAATGAACGGTGATGTTAGGAGATGCAGATAAAAGGACACAGGATGAAATTACAGAAAGTTAGTGGAGAAGGAAGGATCAGGTTATCTACAGGAATCAGAATGGCCATGAAAAATGGAGACTATCAGGTGAGTAGGCTGGCTTTTCTGCTAGCCAGAAATAATAGTACATCACACGTGGGGAGGCCCTGAAGTCATAAGCCCAGTTGTGATTTGCTAAAGACAAATCTTGACGGATTCAGGGAGATACATGTGTCATTGTGTTTGTGGCATGAACAACATGTGAGGTGTAATCCTAGAAGTTGCAAATATTTAACCTCCTCTAAGTCTTTGAAGCTTTTTCAGTTTTACTACTATTTTTACCACCAGACCTATCCCAAATATAGTGTTAATACATTTATTTCTGCCAACAGTAGCTCTTTCCAAAGAATAGATGGTTATTATCCCTAGCACTACCTCCGTATGTACTATGGTAAACAGCCAAAAGTATTGATGAGCAGTTCAGACCACATAAAATTAAATAAGCAACGTATTTTCACATTTGGAAAGAACATATTGCAAACAGGAAATGCTAGGCATAATATTTTAAGGGTAAAAATGTTTAATTTAGAATACTTGCTTTATTATTCAATACAACATAGAATGATACAGTGATATTTATGTAGATTATATTGTGCAGTCTGATTCAGTAGCATTTTATGCAGCCAGCACGGTCAGTTTTCCAGTATATGTCTTAGAAAGATGGCAGGTAATGTACAGCGATAAGACATTTTAGTAGCAGGTATCCTCAAAGCTGGGAGTCTGAATACTTTACTTAGCTTTCAAAAATGTAGGCCTTTCATTTTTCTGATTATTTTCTCACTGTATTTAAATTCTGTGAATAATTAGTGCCAGTGAATAATGCTAGACTGAGCCCCGGGGACTGTGTTGTTCTTTAAGAACTGCAGGGTGGGTAGAAGCACACACAGTACAGTCCGTAAAGTGGCATGAACACTGTCCTATCTGTTTTCTTTCAAACTGACTTGTTTCGGGGGCACAGTTGCAATCATACACTTACTTCTTCATCCCAGTCTGTGAAGGCAGTTACTACTGATGCTAGGGGCTTGAGATGTTGATTGCCAATGACCACAATTATCAGCCTATTTCATATTGGGTTCCTCCCTCTGTGGTCATTACTTAATTGTATGTATTCCGTAAATATTAATGAAGGGTCAAATCTTGCCCATCTTATTTCATTTACGTTAAAGTTATTTGGATTACTTGTATAGCCAAAGAAACATAAATGTTATGCATGATAAAAATGATATCATTAACCTGGCATGGTGTCTACCTGCCTAGAGAAAAGCACTAATGTTAAATGTCCTTTAACTCTAGTATAGAAAACATTATAGACATAAAGAAAGTTTCAGCTTAAGAGGAAATAGCTGGAATCAGGCTGTTTTAAGACCCTCATGAATTTCTGCAGATGAAAAACCTGCAGCATAAGTGACATCATTTCAGCTGCCACTTTCCTGAACACATATGGTCACTCTGTCTGAACTGTATGGTAATTTTGTAATGTGAGTTGCAATGATTCAATATCCATTGGTAATATGAACCTGAAGATTTCTTGTTGCTTTTGTATAGTGCTTCAGGTTTATGTCTAAGGCTATCATTCACTTGCAGAGGAGGACTTCACCTGAATCTGATGGCTGAGGGTCTGGAACAACCTCATTTTAGCCAGTAGGAAATATCAGGCATGGACATGAGCTTTAAGCTATTCTTTTGCATCCTATCATGAGATGCCTGACAGAGAGATCAACACTTTCCTTTCTACTCCCCATCATGAGGAAGTTTTAGATAGCAGTGAGGTCTCCTCTTCTCTAAGCTGAACGAACGGAGCATCTTCAGCCACTCCTTGTCAGTCATGTCCAGTGGTCTTTTCACCACCTTTTTTGCCTTCCTTTGGACACATTCTTGTATTTTTATATGATTGGTACTTTGGCCACAAGGGCACATTGTTGACTCATATTGAGCTTACCATTAACCAAAACCACCATATCTCTTTATGCAGGGCTGCACTCCAGCCTCCTGTCTCCCAATCTATACATAAAAGGGTGTTCCATTAGTAAGGCATGACTTGGCCTTCACAAACCTATGCTGGCTTTGACTGCAGGTGCTTACACACTTAAGCAGGCACTGACCAGGTATTTTGAGTCTTTTTTGTGGTAAAAACACTGGACTTAAGTGTTCAAAGGGGCATATCTCTTAAGAAGTTTGTGCATGGAAGATGTCCATGAAATTAGGCTTTTTAGAGATTTTCTTAACTTCACACCATGCAGTGTATTTCTGGATAAGACATAACACTTCCCTGACCATCATTCCCACCCATTTAAGACTCTGATTCTCCAGTTAATGACTATAGACAATTTTACAAGTGTAAATAAATTTGGTCTCAACATACTGCAGAGTCTAGCATGTAAATACTAGCAGGTAAATGTCCATGGAAGACCTGCACCTTTGGAGTGAATTGTAGTTACTACTGACTGTGCTGTAAGCACTAGACTGTGCTTGTGGTCTATATACAGCAATTTTGTATGTGGATTTAAATTACAGAGCTAGGTTCTACCACTGCTTGTGAAGTGCTGATGACAAAGAATATAAAAAGCCACCTCCTAAAAAGCTGCTGGGCTTTAAAAGAGGGTTCTCTTAGAAACACTTAATTTGAAGATTGTTCCTAATTAGATATTGGCTTTTGAGATTTGCTTCCCTGTCATTACTTTTTTTTACTATTAAGACACTTATATGAATGCAGGATCTTATTTTCTTAAGTGGTCATCTGTTCTTGCTATTTATTCTCCTTGTGAAATCACAATCCTTTGTCACAGCACAATAATTTCCATGACAACCAGCTGTGATGTCACACGTAGGGGCTTATGATTTCAAGAGCTATTTAGCTTTTAAATACAGTCCTTGTCCACCTAAACTCTGCAATTAAATGGGTACAGAAAAATATGTGCTATAGAAGCAATACTGTATCTAGACAGAATATGTATCAAAGGTTTCTGTGAGATAATGGCAACTTTTCAATGCTCTTTTAACATAGCTTGCTGAGAAATCTTTTGCATTTGGTCTGAATTCTGGCTGCTAGTACCTTCTCAGCCAAATACGTGAAAAGACATTATTCTAGAAGGAGCTGATTTATGACATGAAAGTTTTGTATCTCACAAAGTCTCAGGACAGTCTTGGAGATGATAGTTTTTCTGTCTCACTGTCTCTGTTGTAATACAGACAAGGATTACATTTCCTTAGAATATGTGGAGCTTTTAGTGCCCTGGCATTGGACCCTCTCTGGATAAAGAGGTGGGAGAAATGTTCCTTCAGCTCCTTGTCAGGCTTTGGCTGCAACTCGTTAAGAACTAGGAGCAAAATCAGAAATTAAAAAAAGCAAACTAGAGGCTCTGTGCTTGTGTTTCATTAGCATTGCTGGCTTGGTGCCCAACTATGTCAGAAAAAAACTACTTTCTTCAGAAATTCAGGGTATTGATTAATGCTGTATTTAGGGACTTCAGATGGAGGAGGCACACTCTGCCAAAGATACTTTCGCTGACAGCAGGCGCTTGGAGGGCCAAGTAAGATTTGGCAGTGATCTCTGACCACGGCACAGGACCACAAGATGGGGCCTTCAAAGTCAAGGCTTTCAGATGAGAAAGCATAAGCTTCAGCACAGAGGTCAACCTATTCATGTGTTCAGAACAAGAGAGAGCTTTTAAAAGTAAAATAGCAAGGACAGTCATCCAGCAGGCTCAATAGATTTCAGCACTGTGCTCCATCTTTCATAGTTATTTAAGCATCCTCCTGAAGCTCAGGCATGTGATACTTACTTTTGAAACATATGACAAAGATAACAGAATGAAGAGCAGAGAAAGAAGCCTTGAACAATGGTGGGATGCACTTCTCTGGTATTTGCAGAGCTTCTGTCTCCTCTTCTCCTTTTAAAGGTTTTTCAGTGTGTGTGGTGCCACAGTAAAAATAAGGGAATATTAGATGAGGAGAGATCAGGTGGAGGGAGGGGAGGAATGAACAGTATGTCAGAGGAGGAGAAATAATAGCTCTGACCTTCTGTAGTCAGTGTGAGTTGCCCAGGGCCAGGATTTCAAACTGATTGCAGTTGACCTGCAAGTAAATTCTCTCTCCCCTCCTGAACTTAATAGTCTTCAATGCCCGACCTAAAAGCTGTAATTGAAAGCCCACGGCTGCACATGCAAGATGTAGCTGGCAGCTACAGTACACCTCCAAATTTGGGCAAGCTGATCAAAAATCGCCTTGCAAAACACAAACAAACCACCTAGGGTGTGCCTCTGAACAAAGCAGTTAATGATAAGTAGCTTTTCCCCATCCTTAGTTTGTTTAACTGTTGTATGCTGTTTATTGCAGGAGTGATTCGTGAGAGTTACCTGAAGGGTCACGACCAGCTGGTACCAGTCACCCTGTTGGCCATTGCTGTTATTCTTGCTTTTGTCATGGGGGCCGTCTTTTCAGGAATTATAGTGTACTGCATCTGTGACCATCGCCGCAGAGACATGGCTGCTGTGCAGAGGAAGGAGAAGGAGCTGACCCACTCCCGCCGCGGCTCCATGAGCAGCGTTACCAAGCTCAGTGGCCTCTTTGGGGACGCTCAGTCCAAGGAGCCGAAGCCTGAAGCGATCCTCACGCCTCTGATGCACAATGGCAAGCTGGCTACCCCAGGCAGCACTGCCAAGATGCTGATCAAAGCTGACCAGCACCATCTGGACCTTGCCGCCCTGCCAACCCCTGAGTCCACCCCAACCCTGCAACAGAAGAGAAAGCCAAGCCGTGGCAGCAGGGAATGGGAGAGAAACCAGAACCTCATCAATGCCTGCACAAAAGATATCCCTCCGATGGCCTCGCCCGTGATTCCAACCGACCTGCCGCTCAGGGCTTCTCCTAGCCACATTCCCAGTGTTGTGGTCCTGCCCATAGCCCAGCAGGGCTACCAGCACGAGTACGTTGACCAGCCAAAAATGAGCGATGGGGCTCAGATGTCTGTGGAGGACCAGAATGCTACCCTTGAGTACAAAACTATCAAGGACCATCTCGTTGGTAAAAGCCCCAGCCACGGGGTTAACCTAGTGGAGAACCTTGACAGCATGCCACCAAAGGTGCCCCAGCGGGAAGCTTCCCTCGGGCCACCAAGCACCTCGCTGTCACAGAGTGGCCTAAGCAAGCGGCTGGAGATGCACTCATCTGCTTACAGCGTGGACTACAAGAGAAGCTACCCTACAAACTCGCTCACGAGAAGCCACCAGACGTCGACCCTCAAAAGAAACAACACTAACTCCTCTAACTCGTCCCACCTTTCCCGCAATCAGAGCTTCGGACGGGGAGACAACCCACCGCCAGCCCCGCAGCGAGTGGACTCCATACAAGTCCACGCGGCGCAGGCCCAGGCTGTGACTGTATCGCGGCAGCCGAGTCTCACCGCTTACAACTCGCTGACGAGGGCAGGGTTGAAACGCACGCCCTCACTAAAGCCAGACGTACCTCCCAAGCCTTCTTTTGCTCCGCTCTCCACATCCATGAAGCCCAATGATGCGTGTACATAATCAGAGTGGGGTGGGAGGGGGGAGGATGGCAATTCAGCAGAGGTTGCCCTTGAAAGCCAGTGTTCTGCAACTGTTACTGCTCACTCCTCTGAGAAGATAGTTGTTGCAAGATGAAGATGTGTTGGATTTCTGCTCTCTGGGAAAAGTGGAATATTTTTTTAACCCCGAGCCATATGACCCATGGTTGAAGGTTTGCAATTGCAGGACTTGCCCCCACAACCCGCCAGTTCTTTGCTCAAAAGACTAGCCCTCCGTCACAAACATTGAGCCAAAAGCACACAGGTGAAAGATGACTGTGATATTTCACCCCTGCCCCAACTGCACAGCGCATTCCTGAACTTTTTTTTGAGTGCTCTGAAAAGCAAAACAAATAATTAAAAAAAACAAACGAATTTTAAAAAGAAAAAAGAAAAATGAAAAAATAAAAAAGGAAGAAAAAAAGAATCCATTGATAAAGCTAACTCTGACTTAACAATGGCAGAAGTTTACTACATGCAGGTACTGTGAAATGATGCCCATCAGTGTTACAGCCATTTGGTTACAGCAATTAAATGCTGTGTTGGGCAAACTATGTCATAGATTTCTGCTACCCTTCTCTTTTAATGAATAACACGTGACTGTTAACCCAAGTAACTCCTCTTATTTATTGTTCAACTTTTGTTTTTCCTAAGGAAATGACTTCTGCATATCATCCTGTGAGCAGCTCTTCAGAGAAGTACATTGAAAGTTAGACCTATTTAACGTGAAACCCATTAACTGGAGTAATTAAAACTCTTTTATTTTTCCAATAAATTCACTGAATTAGATAAATTGGAGCTGGAATTCTGAACTTTGTGCCTGGACTATCTGATTAGCTGATAAAAAAGGGGATATCTATTTAAGTCTCTCAGCTAATTAGCTGGCTGGGCCTCTGACCTAAGACAGCGACAAACAAATACCGTAAGTTCATAACTTCTAAAATAACTGCAAGAGAAACTCTTAAAAGCCGCACATTTGTGCACCATTGCTATCAACATGGCGTTGTCAGTAGCTAATACTTTCTGTGAAGGCACCAGCTTGTGATGTGCCATCTCATTTCACCTTGCATGTGAGACGGCAAACAAAATCCTCAAACAGTGTGAACTAGTTAATATGCCGGCTGTTACCATGCATAAATTATGGTCTTATCACACGGGTTTTTCGTGGGAATATATCTGTGAATAGCCTGTTTTCTTCCACATGTAAATTTGTGCCTTACACCCTCGGTTGTGTATACTTGTGAACTGTAGTATGTAAACCCTTTTTCTTTTTCCCCTTTGAGTAATGCAAATATTTATTGAGCCTTCCTCCTCCAAGCCCCTTCAAGAACTGGAGTAAAGAAGTTGAAAGAAGAACATGGTGGTTATTGTCGTAACACCGTGTCCATCAAGAAATTAGGCTAGCACCATACCCTCCACTTCAATTTGACTTTCTAGCTGTGCCAAGTCCTCTCTCGAAACCACCCACAAGCGGGGATGCTCCCGAGTCACCATGCTGGGAGTTCTGCCTTCCCCCTCCTCCTGCTCCCCCTTTACTGCACGTCAGCGCGGAGATCATTCTCACTCGGTAGCAGGGAAGTGACCAGCACCCTTGCCCATTGGGCTGGCATGTCCCCCAGCGGGGGACGAGTGCCAGCGAGAGGGTTCAAGCCCTACAGAAAGCCCGGCTGTACATCCTGCAGCACGCAGGGCAGATGGAGCTAGGACAGGCAGGCAGGCTCCTGCTGTAGCTACCTGCTGCTCCAGAAGGATGCTGCATATACTTCTTTGGGGAAAAAAAGTGGTTTTTTTTTTTCCTTTGTTTCTTTTGTGTGACTGTGCATGTAGCTAGTGTGGGAGTGTGCGCGCACACAGGTGTGAGCGTGTGTGTGTGCGCGCAGGTGTGCAAGTTCCTTTCCAGTCTTTCAGTTTATGCAAAAACGTAGATGTGTTTTTAATCTGTTTCAATAACTGTGTCGACATACTGTAGAAAAATGATGGGGATCGCTTCTAAGCTTTTTATATATATATATATCTACTGAACAGTATGTTTGAGTAAGGTGGTTGTTTCTGTTTCAATTTGTTTTTTAAAATTTTATACTTCCATTTGTTTTTCAGGGTTTTGGTTTTGTTTCCAAAAGATTGAAAAGACAGATTTTAAGTCCATTAGCTTATAGATGGTATATATAAAGTCTGGATGGTCTAGACCAAAGTGTGTAACAAGGGTGCTTGCATGTTCTTTCATTTCATCATGGCTTCTTTTATGATACGGTTTTGTTCACCCTCAGTGAACTATGCAGACTGGAGTAGGTAGATCTGTATCCAAAGCAATGTTGTAGTTTTAATAAAAACAGACAGAAATCCCTTTGAAAACACTAGGTAGCAAGATCAGTTTTTAAAAAGATCCAACTCACAACCGTTTTACCCAACTCCAAATCCCTGGAGCACCAAAAGTGCAGGTCCCCTCGATATTACCCCGCAAAGCGTTCTCCCAAGACGTAGAGATGAATAGTCATGGCAACAGCTTGTGCAGCAATCTGCCTTCGCGATGTACACCACACCAGTTACCGGGCTGACCTTGAAACATGCATTTCGTACTCAGTGGGACTTTCGGTTTTGTCCTTTCCCATTCTGTTTCTCTCCCACCCTCTGTTGTGAGGGGTTCATGAACCTATGTGTGCCTTTGCTTTCCACCCTTGCTATACACTGGTAGATGCAACAAATTCAGACTGTCATTTGTTGTGAAGTTGTAAAGTATTGTGATGTCACCAGTTTCCCTTCATTTCCACATACCCCTAACATCTGATCACAACTTAATGTATGTTGTAAAAAAAAGACAAAAAACAAAACCCAACAAAAAAAAAAATGAGAAAGAAAAAGAAAGAAGGAAGGAGGAGAAAAGGGGAAATAAAAGCTCTTGATTACATATGGTAATAAACCCAGACTGTTCTACCTTTTTTCTTTTGTCCTGTTTTTTTTTTTTTTGTTTTGTTTCTATATATATCGTTATCCTTAAAAAAAAATTAGAAAAAAAAAAAAGAAAATGATGTTGATTATTTAGATTTGGTACTGGGGCCAAAGAAATCTGTTACTTTGTCTCTTATGGAGGATGAACGTGACTTTAGAGTAAGGTGATGGTAATTAAAAATTGAATCACATATTTGCTCTCCCTCTATTCATATTCTGCATTTTCTTTTTATGAGCTTGTCATCATCAAATATTTATGGCAGACTTGATAGTTTAAAAGATCAAGGCTGGGATTTAAGCATGCGTGGTCCCCCAAAATAGATCATCATACAGATGTAACTTCATCTCCAGGCTTTACATATTAATAGCGGAGGAGCCTGTGTTTTCTTTTAGCAAGCATAAATCTATTGTGTTTCATAGGCCTGATTTAGAGGATGTTGCCTGAGACTAATTCTGCAAGAAAATGATAGTAAACAGATAAATAACAAAAGAGTTTGTCATCTCCCTAGTCCTGGGAATCGTTAAAATATACCTGCATTCTGCACCCTGAGTTTGTGTAAAATGGGATCAGTTGCACACAGCCATTACAGTACAGGTAAATGCTTGGCTGCGTTAGTCACTGGACTTAGTAATTTTGTTCTGTGACAGGAGTTTTATGTGACCCTATGGAAGCAAGAGATCTGATCCAGTAACTTGCCCTTACTCAGGTTATACTTGGGATTTCCTGCCCTACCAGGACACCCTGGTTTGGACTTTGAACCTTATGGATATGTACCAGTTGCATCACAGATAGCCCTGATGCTGGCTCAGCAGACAATAGTGACATAGTATCGTTCCTCAAGAAGCAGGACGTGATGGATTTAAAAAAAGAAGTCACAAAGCTTGGCATGCTCTCCTCAGTGGAAATCAGCAGGCTCCTCTACATCTTCATCTCCTCCGTCTCTGCCCTGAAGGACACCCGGGCTCCACCGGGCCTTGCTGTAGCAGTGACACAAGAGCAGAGCATTGCAAACATCACCTTTCAATGCCTTGTACGTCTCTGCTTTTTTTGTCTTGGGCTGCAGCCTTCCTTTGAGCCAGGCACCTGGCAGGCTGCCCTGAGTGATGCTAAGGGACCCCCAACATAGGGACTGGGAGCAATGTACAGTCACAGGGTGCTCCACAGTGCTGCCTTTGACCTGAATGCTTCCAGAGCTGAAACAAATGGGAAGGCAAAAGCTCTGCAGGTCCTTAGAGATGTGTGTCATTTTCAATCCTGCATCTGGTCCTTTGTGAAGTTACTTTGTCCACTTTGTTTCAAGTGATTCATGTAAGCAGTGTCTAGGGAAGCTATTCAAAGATTAGTATATCTCTATTTTAACATTAATATTCCTCAACAAACAATTGCAGGCTGCTGCCTGGAGAACCCAAGAATGCCTCTAGCAGTGGCACTGGCTGACTCCTTTGCACAGCTTCTCCATGTGTTTCCAATGGAAGGAAGGACCACTTAAAGCACAGGCTTGAAGGAGGGAGAGCAGGAAGGGGGGCCTGTAACTGCTCTGCTTTTGTGGTCATGGACTGCTGGCCAAGGGAAGCTGTCAACCTTACCCCTTACAACAATTTTCCCTCACAACACCTGCACGTTCAGTGCACCTCTGTGCTGGCAGCACACATAGTCTCTGACAGAGACTATCCTGCTGTGCAGAAATGGCCAGGAGAGGAAGTGAAGGAAATGGCGCATCAGACTCCGCTGCCCTGGTGGGGTCTTGGCCAGCCAAGTGCAACACAGGAACCCACAGCAGCACCCTGCGAAGGGAAGATCCCTCCACTGAGCACCCACAGCTTCCCCCCAAGAAGAGGCAGTGCCCTCAGCCCCCAGTATGGTGGCTTTTGACATAGGAGGAGACCTCTGAGCTACCCACTGTCTATTTGAATCATGACATCTGTCCCCTGCAGTGGTGCCACACTGCAGAATCACCCTGTGGTTGAACAGGGCAAAGAAGATACCCTGGAAAAAGCAGGGGTGCTTTGAGCACTTCAGTCAAGTTAATGTCGCCT